TTTTGTCATCTGTCAAAAAATAAATTGTTTTTCCAAAAAAAATCAATCGCGTCTGTCCTACCAAAAAAAAACCAATTGGATAAATAATTAATGTGTACGCATCGATCAAATCACAAACTTCTTTTTTCTTTATTTTTTTCTGCAAAAATGCCATGTAATAAAATTAATAATAAAAGAAGTCGCGAAGACCATCATAACCAAGAGAATATTCACGGGTAAGTGTTGTTTATTGTAAAAATGGTGGTGGTGGTTATCGCCGCTCGGCACTATACTATATAGTTGTTTTTTTTAAAAAATAGTGATTGATATTACAGCAACTCATCATTCTATATATAACTTTACAACATTATATTTAATCAACAAATACCATATAGTAATAATAATGACAGTTTATTTAAAAATCAAAAAGACAAAAAAGAGAACGAATCAATAGAAGCCGAAAATATTCCCATGTAAGGCTGCTTTCAATATCATTTTTAGTAGTTTGGCAATTTGACGATTTAACAATTTATGTGTTAACACTTCTAGTGTTGTTGACAATGAAGTACTTGAATCATTAATGAAAGAAATGATTGTGGGCTCCGTTAAATACATGATTGGCTCGTTTGATGTTGAAAAAGCGTTGGTAGAGTGGAAGGAAAAAAAGGAACGGCCTTGCAATGAGTACGTTTTTAATAATATTGTCATGTATAATTTATATGCGTATTAATATTGACCAACAATTTCTACAATAATAGTTTAGCGTATTATGATATTCTAGATATAACACCAGGAAGCAACGGTAAATTTATAAAAGAACTACCATCTCATATAAAAACCATTATCTTTAATCACGAAAAAAGTCCTTTAATTTTGATAATAATGATATTAAGTCTATGGCATCAGATATGATTAGAGTATATATATAACACTGTCTAACAAAGATTTTTGCTGTTATTTTTAAAAGAAACTCAAAAATAATCTGGTTAACATGTTTCATATATTCATTAGATTAGCGATTTTAAAAGGGCCGTTAATGAATATTTTATATTAACAAGAGAAGATTCTTCCAAAAAATATTTATGGGACTATTCATATTTACTGTAAGTGTATCTATTTGTATTAAAAAAAATTTAGTATCATTATTAAATTATTATTTTTTTTTCCAATAGATTAAATTCAATTGAAAGAGATAATGAATTATTGAAAGATAGTTTATCAGAAAGGCACTACAGAGAATCCTTTTTTACTACAATGATGTCTAGTTTATTTCATGATTATACTCAAGATATGGCAACATTTTAGTAAGTAATCATATGCTATGTTAGAATTTATTTTAAAAGTTGTTCATTGCACTAATGGATAACACCTATTATTTAAGCAGAGAAAAGTGTCTTTTTGCATCAGCAGAAGATTACGGTTTAAAGAAAGATGATAGTGAAACCCAAAGCACTGGACGAAAAATAGACATAGTTTGGTGTATTGAACCAATCAAATTAGAATTTGCCATAGGAGAAATCAGCAGTTCGCCTAATCAGAGGTGTCACTCACATTTCTTTGATGATAAATTAAAAATTGCAAAGATGTTGAAAGTGATGCTTAACAAAATAGTAAGGACATACGGCGGTAATAGTTCCATGCTAAATCATTTAAATTTGTATGGAGTACAAGCTTATAGTAAGTATTTCATCATTAATAGTATTCTTGTTCTGATTTAAAAAAATTTTTTTTCAATGTCATTCTTCAACTATTAACTCTTAAATGAAATTGACAGATCATAATGTATTCCTGTACAAATTATCGATTCTGTACAAAAATCTGTATTTATTTTGAGAAATAAAAAGAATAGCATTACTGACATCGATTATCAATATATCTTTATTAAAAAATTGTTTCGAGTTTTCTGGATCTCAAGGTACAAAAATTACTTTTTTGAAAAAAAAAAACAAAATAAAAATAAATTGAATTTTTACCAATACTTAATTATCACTAGTACTTACTTAATTATCTCCAGTATATTATAAATAAAAGCTGATTAGATATAAACAAATATATACTTGAATCGGGATTGAGAACTCCAGATGATGAGGGTAAATCTAGCCTATTTATCACACCAATGAAACGTAAAAAAATATTATCAACCCAAAATCAAAATAATATGTAATTTGATAATCAGAGAATTAGATGGCAAATTATTTGAAATAAATACTAGATTGAATGGTGAACTATTATGTAAAGGTTGGTTGCTGTGAATTTTTTTGATTAATAAAAACAAAGTTAATAATTCTAATTCAATTTTTTCATTAATTTAAAATTGTTTTATTCAGCAAAAAGTCCTTCTTCTGAATGGTATTACCAACTATATTATTAATAAATAAATAAATAGTTATATATATTAACATTACATTATAATTAGCAAGGATATATATATATAATATTATTTATGTTTAAAGAAAAATTTTCAAACTAAAAAAATTTTTTTTTTAAACATTGACTAAACAAATAAAATGTCCACTGAATTAAAAAAATTTTATTTTACCATTACTGTGTAGATAACGTCGTTTGTTACACACAATTCAAAGGATTACTCTTACCAGTGAGTTTTTTTTTTTTTTTTTTTTGCCTTATAAAATATATAAATATATAATAAATAATATAATATAAAAAATAAAATTAGAACAAATTTGCCTAAACAATAATAATAGAAACTAGTAATCATAACTAAAATCGATTACTGCGATTACTGGTGTTCCTAAGATTAATAGAAATAGCAGTGATCGTTCAGTAGTAAAAATCTAATAACTAATGATTAAATAGATAGAAAGATATTAGAAAGTTAGAAAAACTAATTTTTATTTGCTCTCTCTATGTGTGTGTGTGTGTTTATTTTACATTTATTTCTTAGTAAACTACTCTTACTTAGAGGCTTCTTAGGTAGAGTTAATTAAATTTTTATGGTAGTGAATGAAACTGAAATTAATGCAATTAATACAATAAGTGAAGTGAAAGGATATCTTACTTATAATAGTCAACCATTAGAAGAGAGGAAATAGCCAAGTTTCAAGAGAAATCAGAAAAGTGAGGTAAAAGACAAAAACAAGAGTTGTTAGATAAGATTAGACAACAAGAAGCAGAAATGATTAAATTGACTCAGAAATTGAACAATTGAAAACTTTAGCCCCTCAAGAGTTAGTCAATAAGTTAAATGCTTATGAGGCAGAGAATGAGAAATGAAAGAACCAGTTAGAACAATTACAGCAGAATGGTCAACTAACTGCATAAATCAAGATTAAAGAAACTAAATGACCTTGATTGAAAATTAAAAATTAACAAAGTTGAAAAAAAATGTAATTATTTGTTTTAGTTATTCTGCCAGTTTTCTTTTTTTTCTTGATTCTTTACTAGAATTTTCTAATACTCTTTTGAAAACTCTTTCCTCTTGATAAATTTCATAGATAATCCTTTCTTTGTCTAAATATGTTTGCAAAGATTTGGTGTCTGCTAATTTAAAAATGTAAGGAGCAATTTTTTCACCTTGTTCCTTCTTCAAAATACTTCTAATGGTGCTATAATTCTTGGGTTCCATAGTAGATCTGATATAGATGAGTTTCATCTTAACTATTTTTATACAGGGATAGTTCTATATATCACTTAAGATAACAAATGGAAGATTTTAATAATCACGTTACTAAATTTTGATCCCTGAAATTCTTGGTAATACCAATGTTCACTTTGTCTGGTTTTGTTGCAGTATGCCCCATTTGAAAGTAGAACATTTTTAAAATATTTAATTGTATAACTGCTAGTTGATAAAATTTCCAGATTTTCAAGTACTGGTAATAATTTATTGTTTATATAGCTTGAATATAAATTATTGATTGTGAATGTGTGAAAATTGCTTTTTTGAAATTATCTGATAAAGCTCCTTTAGCAAGCAATGAATAAATGGTTAAATGTTTTATTTGAATTTGTGTTTTAATTAGTTGAGTCAGACAGACTATGATAATCAAATCCATTATATTTTCACAAATATTTGCTATTTATCATACATGTTAGCCAAAATTGGTTTTGCATTTGCCAAATATTTTGGCTAAATTCTGGCTTTTCCATATTCTCTGTATTAATTATCCTAAAAAAAAAACTACCCAGAATTTTGACTATTGAATCAAGGAATTCAAATAATTTTGGATACAATTTTGGCCACTATTAAAATTAATTTCAGTTATTATGAAAAGTTATTTTGGCATTTATTAATAGACTTATGTAATTTATCAATAAATTCATAATTATCAGTAAGTTTACAATCTAATTTGTTAAGATTTTGAAAGATATTATTAAAACTATGATAATTATTTAACTGATGAAGATCTATGTCAGAAGTACCAAACTCTCTGATATTTGTTGAATGATCCAAGGTCAATTTTACTAATTATTTTGTAAAATAATTAAATAAAGTCCAATGCAAAATCTAGTATAATTATATAATGGTGGTTTGTCTAACAATTTAAACCCTTATTTCTTGTTAAGAAATCCTTATACTATTCCAGTAAACAATTAATTATTATTTTGGTGCTATTTTTAGAATCTTAATATTATGCCATTGTTTATTGACAAGAATGCAAGAACATAATCATCATCATTGTATTTAAATATTTTAATTGAGAGCTCAGATGGTAATGCTCCAGAAAAAATCAGAGGTTGAAACATTTTTCCATTTATTATGACAATAAACACAAGTAATAATCCAAAAAAAAACAATTAACAATTAATTGGTAATTAATTAATATTCATATATGTTGTTGATTTCAATTATATAAATATTCATTCATTCATACCTCACTACTGCTATATTTTGAAGCTTTCCATTGATCAAAAAGAACTTCATGAACATATTTTCACAATAATTTTTACACCAGACAAGTTTTTCAGGTTCCAACAATGAATTGTAACCGATTATAGACCTTTACTGTATAAGTATCATAATCAAAATATTTATTGTTATTAGCACTACAAGAATAATTCTAAACATACCAGATGGGATAATCACCCTCAATTGGTTGACAAGATCTTATATTACTATTGGCAGTATCACTTCTAGAGCTATTCATGTTTGCATATTGACCATGAATTCTTTGATTTGCCTAACAATAATTAAATGAATGAATGAGTACAAGCAAATAGGGTACACTAAATAAAATATTGGATAAAATGATAAATTTATTTACTTACCAAGACAGCTGGTTTGAAACAGCATTTTGGAAAGTTTGTCTAAGGTTATTGGTTAATAATGCTTTTTAATAGATATACTTACTATCAGAATTGACTCTAGGAAAGAACAAGAAAAAAATGAAATGAATAATAATATTGTTGTTGTTGTTAGCTTACAACATGTATTAAAAAAATAAGGAATTTTTAATTTACCTTTGTAAAATCATGAAATCTTGATATTATAAATCTTTTCATTTAATAATCATAGATGGATGAATGTTCAATTAATTAATTAATCAATAGACTCTGGATATTACAAACATGTGATGTAATTCACTAACTTCAGTCAGATCTATCAATCAAGAACATTTTTTGTGACATTGCACATTCAATCTGTTTTTTTTTTGCTTTCTAATTTATATAATAGCCATGAATATTGTTGACATTTATGATTTAATGTATTACCTTGTATTATTATTTTTTTTTTTTTTTTTAATTTCTTAACATTAAAAAAAGACGTAATTATTTAAAAAGTGTTGTACAGAAAATTTTTTTTTTGGAAAAACAAGTTGTTAATAAAAAAATGTTAATACCTTTTATATTCTATAATGGACGGAAAAGTAAATGTGGATATTAATTAAATATGCGTGTTAGGAGGTATCTTAGCGCAAAAAAGATGAAGATGTACTTTGTTTCAAGCTCAGGAGATTGCAATTTAAAGTGGGGTTAGAGACTCTGAATTTCATTGAAATTACATTCGGACTTTTTCTTTTCAAGGGGTCTGCTGGAGGATCTTCCAAGTTCAGGTATTTTGTCCTAAATAAAATAAATAAAAATGGTACATTCCATCCATATAAATTAATTATTTCCTAAATTCTTTGTTCCTTTGAAATCTATTAAATTAAATTTTTTCCTTGTCGTGTTAATAATTGATTCTTAATATAAACATTACAACATCAAAAAATAATATACAAACGCTCTTTTCCGCATGATATTTGCCCAAGTATAAGGGATAATAAAGATTCACTTTTTTTAAATGATTGTGTTTTTAATAAATAAATGATCAGTCACGGGCCTCACTTAATTAGAAATCATGCGATTTTTAGCATTACAAACAGATAAGTAGTCTTTTAATCGTGTGATGTTGTACAATTACATAAAAAAGCAATTTTTTTTTCTCATTTGTAAAAAACGATAAAGTTATTAATCAACGTAGAAGAAAAAGATGATTATGTTTTATTGATGTATTCTCCAATGACAGAGAATGCAATAATTGGTTTGAAAAGAAAGTCTCGTGTCGTTTCACAGAACTTTCCATCATCAGATTCTTCCATCATTAATCGACCCCTGATATTTGCAATATAATTTATTATTTTTGAATTCAAGAATTCTGTTACCCCAATTCTTATTATATAATCATCATTTTTAATAATAATAATAATAATAATATTGTTATGTAAAATTTTTCTTGGTTCCAAGCCCCCTTTTCTTAGCGCCCCGTATAGAAGGGATATTAATTACAATTGATATTACCATCCACTATTATTTATTTATTCATTTGAAACAAAAGAAAGTTTTTTTAAAAATGATTGCACAGAACCGGTTGAAACTAGTTTTGAAACCCTTAACTCTCTATTAAAAAATATTGGTATTATTCTTGGTCTCGTGTATTTCTTTTTATTCAGCCATTTGAATAATCCGCTTTCCAAATGAGTCAATGATAAATGAAGATGAAAAAAGTTATAAATGATCGATGGATGAGCAGAGTTGAATGTCAATTTTAATAATGAAAAAAATATTTTTCGCCACCAAACTGTTTATAGTTACCGTTAAAGCGGCACCTATTTATGATGAAAGTTTTCGGGGAAATGCCTTGCTTGACTTACTTGACACCTTGTTATCACTATTTCTGCCTTTATTTATTTATCTTTCCTTCTCCAAAGATTTAAAGGCCACATACTTTGCGTTAGTTGCAAGGCTTGTTACAAGAATTTTCGCGCATTTATATACAGCGTTTATCCCAATTTTTTCTCTTTTGGCTCTCAAGAGCAAGATCGAGCCTGATGCTAGTTGGAAAGTGGCCATTATATGCTATGTTGTTTTAAATTTTGTACTCGGGGTGGTAGATTTTATATATATGGAAACTTGTTTTAAACCAAAGAAACAGGAAAAAAAAGGAAACGATAGGTATAAATATTTATAAAAATACAAATTTCGTTTTCAATTTTATAAACATTCATTAAATGTAAATTTTTTATTTTAGTAATAAGCGAATAAAGTTTTTATTGCCCGGATATATAATTTTCAAAACCTGCTTAGTTTTGGCTTTTCTAAGTAACAATCGTGATCAAATCACGAGCGAAATGTTGTCGTGGATCATCGTTATTTCAATAATATCGTTATTTGGTTCATTAGGAACAATTAAATATGGTCTTGAAATGAAAGAAAAAAATAATTTGAAAAGAATGTTAAGGTATAAACACGATGATGAACAGAATAAATGGAATAATTGCATTTGCGTTTTATCCGGTCTTTTTACCGCCCTATTGATCTTCTCACACGTTCTACTTTATCTAGAAATCGCCTTCTGGTTTGATTTGAACGATTATTTAAGTAAATTGCTATGGAATGCCATAGCATTAGAGATTACTATAGCAATTTTGGACCTTTTACGAGAAGATGACACGCAAGTTTTATCACCAGAAGTAGCAGCAAATCATCATGAGAACGAAATAATTGAACAACAACAACATAATAATAATAACAATATAACAGTAGTAACAACATAATAATAAAGATATAACAACAACAACAACACAATAATAATAATAATAATAATAATAACAACAACAATATAACAGTAACAGCAACAACATAATAATAACAACATAACAACAACATAATAATAATAATCATAATAACAACATAATAATATAATCATAATCATAATACAATAATATAATAATAATATAAACTAAACGTTAGCCTATAAGATGAAACCAATTTACTAGTTTCGGCAGCATCTTTACATCTAATTTGTATTGGAACTTTTAATAATTTATGATTACAAATATTTCTTTTTCTAATGGAATTTTATGGGCAGAGCGATAGATGAAAACAATAGATATTAGAAAATAGGTCTTTGTAAAAAGTGAAGAAAGTAAGCATATTTATTATACAATGATAACAAAGATAATATTTACGAGGAAAATCACTTTTGTTCACTCGGGTCTGGCAAGCGTAAAGGATGTCAAAATCCTAATTTAGTAATACTTAACATGTGACTAAATAGTTTAATCAGTCTAGTGCTCATTTGAGTTACGCGACCAGCCTTTTAAAAAAATTTATGTATACATAAAAACTTGTTTAGAATATTCTTAATTTTAAATAATAAAATTGGTTTTTCTGTTCCTGAACGAATCATTTTTGTATGAACTCATAGTAACATTATTTTATCACTTAATAAAGTATCAAGATCTTTTGATTGATCAGTAGGAAATCTTTCTCTTTTTATCTTATTTTCTATATAGACATGCGTGAACTCTGGCTGCACTATCAAATTATTGCCAACCCTAAGCTACTCCCTTAATGACAAGTATGTGAGATCCTCTGCAACAAGAAATTAATTGAGTGCTGAATTAATATATAATTATTTAATATTAATAATTTGTTCCAATTCCCAGTCTCATAAAGTTCTGAAAAAAGAGTTTTGATTCCCATAATTTATTCTTTTGGCTTTTCTCCAATTCTTTTTGTTGACCATGTTTGATAACTGATCATCCGTGTAACATAAATATTTCATGCAATTAGATTTTATTATAAAGCCATTTAAGGAAGCGTGATGAGTCAATGATAGTGATAATGATAATGATAATGAAAATGACGGAAAATTTTTATAAATGGAACGGCGGTAGAGATTTCATTAAAATCATTGAATCATGAAAAAACTCTTGATATTTTCCACGATCAATCTGTTTATTGTCATCACTAAAGCAGCACCACCTATTTATGATGAAGGCTTTCAGGGAGACAACTTACTTGATACCTTGTTAACATTATTTTTGCCGTTATTTATTTATCTTTCTTTCTGCAAAGAATTAAAAGCCAGATACTTTGCATTAATTGCGAGGTTTTTTATAAGATTTTTGGCGTACTTATATGTTACATTCGTAGTAATTTACTCTTTTTTAGCCCTTGAAAGCAAGATCGAGAAGAATACTACTTGGACTATAGTGTTTATATCCTATAGTGTTCTAAATTTTGTGCTCATAATGGCTATATTGATTGAAGACATTAGAACTATACCCGGAATAAAAGCAGACAATGTAGAAATGTGGTCTTTGGAAGAAAATAAGGGAATTAAAGAAAATGAGGCGGGAATTGAAATTAATCAATTTGAAGAAAATAAGGATATTGGATCTACTAATCTCGAAAAAAAATCAAAAAAAGATCATAACAATAGGTATAAATTTAAAAAATACAAAATTTTGATTTTCAATTTTATTTATAATATTAATATTAATACAGTCAAACCTTGTCACAACGGATACACGGGACACATTAGAAAAATATTATTATTATAATTACTAATCTCGTCATATATGTATAACGCGAATTGATTATAATTCACTACAATAAGATACACTGTGGCAAGGTTTGACTGTATAAATAAATGAGCAAGCAATCGATTCATTAAATTATATATTTTTCATTTAGTAATAACAATATGCGGATAGATTTGAATTTAATAGGCTACATATCTGCACCTGTCAAAGCATGCATAGTTTTGACTTTTCTAGGCAAAAATTATGATAAAATCACGACTGAGATGTTATCATGGATCATCATTCTTTCAATAGTAATATTAATCAGTTTGTTAGGAACATTCAAGTATGCCCTTGAAATGGAAGGAAAAAATAAATGGAAAAGATTTTTGCAAAGATATAAATACAATGATCAAGATGATAACCATGAACAACATAAACGGAACAATTACGTTTGGATTTTCTCCAGTCTTTTCTTTACTCTGTCATACATTACACGTGTTCTACTTTATTTAGAAATCGTCTTTTGGTTTGATTTGAATAACTATTTTAGTAAATTATTGTGGAATGTAGTAACATTAGAAATTACTATAACAATGTTGGACCTTGTGCGAGAAGATGACTATGACGCCACTAGAAATAGAAACAGCAAATTATCACGGAACGATGAAATAAAAGTAATCGAAATCGATATTGAAAAATAATAGTAATAATAATAATGAAAAAACTAGTAAATTGGTTTTTTCATATAGACTAAACGTTTAGCCTATAAGACGAAACCAATTTGCTGGTTTCGCTAGCATCCTTATATCTGATATATTACATTTACATTTAACGAATATTTATAATTTTAGCATAAATTTTATTGTATTATTATTAAAATGAATTTTTTTTTATATACTTGGTGTGGGACTTCTATTCAAATAAGGTTTATTCGAATTATTCGTTTTATTCGTTATGAATTAGAGTATTCGAATTGCATCGAATAAAACTAATAATTCGAATAAATTTTTTAATTCGAATAAAATTAATGATTCGAAAAAACTTGCAATTCGAATAATATTAATAATAATAATAATAATTCAATCCAATTAAAATTTTTTTTCTTTATCAATCTATTTTTCCTTGGTCCTTGAATATAGGGTAATAATAAATAGTAGTACCTGACATCATAGTACTAGCAATTATAGTAGTGATATAGATTATAAATATAATTATTGTTTATGTTATCTCGTTAGAGAAATAAGGTCTATTTTATAAAACGAATAAACCAGTAATTTGAATAAAACTGATAAAAACGAATAAATTTTTTTAATTCGAATATAACTAATAATAATAATAGTAATATAACTAATATTCGATAATTTTATGACAATTAAAAATTCCGAAAATTTTAATTCAAGGTTTGATGTTTTAACAATATTTGTGCTTCTAATAAAGGTTCTGAAATATATGCATACAGTTTTAACTCATCTATGGGACACATAGAATTTAATTGTAATTCGTTGAAACGAGGTTTCACTGTATAAAATTTGCTCAGATAATTAAAACGAGACTCAAAAGAATCTTTATTATTATTGAGTTTCTATTCTCGAATTATTTGTAATACAACTTAATTTAATCCATTCACATTCAAATCATCGAATTATTCGTTTTATTTCAAATAATTCGAATAAACCTTATTCGAATAGAAACTCTAGTTGAGCAGGCTCGAGTTAAAACTTGAATTTTCAAGTTTTGGCCGAGTTCAAGAAATAGGTTCTTAAATTGTTTTTTAGGTAATAATTGAATTAATCTAAAAAAATTATGCAACATCAATTATTTCTTGGCTCGAGCTTGGCTTGTTCAGAATTTGCTTCAACAAAGATATTAAAAAAGAGTACTGTAAATATGTATTGCCTCGTTATCAGCATGATATATGAATTGATTTGAAATTATGGAATAATTTTCTTGTACACGCATTTCTATTAGTATATTTCTATTTTCAAATATTGGGTTTGGTATAAAATACATGTGGATCACCTTGAAAGTCAATTATTATCTAACTTTGTTGTATTTGCTTTGTCAATGATACTTGGGCTATATCTTCTTCTGTTAAAAACTTGGCAGCTGTTGTTCATTTCACTTTTGTGGTAAATGTTTTGGATTTACGTGTCACGAGATATAGTTACTGTAATACCAAAATTTTTATTGGGTATAATATGGGGCATACTGCAACAAAACCAGACAAAGTGAACATTGGTATTACTAAGAATTTCAGGGATAAATAGTAATGTGATCATGATATTTTGTCTAGATAAAAATAGTTAATATGAAACTCATTTACATCAGATCTACTATGGAATCCAAGAATTATAGTACCATCAGAAGTATTTTAAAGAAAGAACAAGATGAAAAATTGCTCCTTACATTTTCAATTCTGTTTTTCCATTAATCATAAATGTTTTGTAATGTGTCCGAGTAGATCTTTGATTATTTAGTAAACTTATTTATTAGTTAATTGGTTGATTCAAACATTTTCTATTACTGAGAGAATTTTGAATTGACATGCATGTTTGCTTTGTTTCTAAATTAATTGTAAAGTAAAAGAAATTATATTAGTGTTGCAAGTCAACTGGGAGGATTGTAAGTCGCAACTAGTCAACTGGGTTTTTTTCTAGTCATGCATGACTAAATTTCAGTTTTCAGTTGCTACAAGATTCGTATAACTTAATCAAGCCAATCATATGAATGTCATCATTATTTTTTACTTTATGTGTCACGTTTCATTATTATTATGGGTAAAAAACAACTTTCGATGTGGATACGTTTTGGAGTAGTCAAAAAGAACATTAAAAATACTCTTGACTCTACTTTGGATGCTCTATATGATGTCTGTCCATTGAGAAGTTCTCACAGGTCTATATATGATTCACTTCATAATCTTTTGTATAGTGATTGAGTCTTTTGTCAAAAATCACCAACACATATCATGTTGTTCGGCTGGCTTGAAGATAAAAAATTGTCAACTTCCTCAACTTCCTCGTCTCAACAACCAAAACAGTCGAAACACTCAAAACCTTTTGCGGTTTTTAAAAAAATGCAGTTTCATTCATCTGCTGTTGGGCAACATGCAACCATCACTAACAATTGCAATGACAATGATAATGGTTCTGCTTGCAATTCTTTTCCACGAGTTAAACAATCATTTTCTTTACTGACAGTGAGCAAGGTGCAGTTATAGAGCCTTTCATTAACCTTGCTGAGAAAGCAGTTTATAATTTTCTTGTTAAAAACGAACGTATTATTCCTTTAGAAACTGTTAAAGCATTTGTGGCTAAACAATGTTCTCCTATTAGCAGAGACTTTTGTAATGCAGATCTACTATGCATGCTAAACTTTATCCTAGAAAACATCAACATTTTCTTAAAAGAATCTGTATTCCATGGTCAATATAAGGCTAATCCCACTGAGTTACTAACTCATTTTAAAGAAATAAATTGGCTCATGGAATAATGATTGATGAAAAAGGTCATTGGAGTGACCATGCACTCCAAGATGTTGCTATCTTAGCTTGTGAAGTTATCATTTGTTTTGGTAAGTTAGTTGTGAGAACACAACAATTTGACTTTACAAAAAACATAAGCTGAATTTTTATTTTGTTTGACAATAGGCAGAAATTATGAAGAAGCCTTTGCCAGCAAGGAAAATGTTGATAATGAAATAATTAAACGATGGATTGATAAGGCTTCACGAAAAAGGAAATTGGATGAAATGCTTATAATAATGGTAAAAAGAATGTAGGGTTTGTATTCATGAATATCATAAGGGGGTCACACAGGGTCACACACTATTAAAATCAAGTGATCAACTCATGTTTTTAAGGGATTTTTTGCTGTTTTAATAGTGTGTAACCACTTAATGATATTCATGATATTCATGAATAAAAACCCTAAAAGAATGCCAATGCATCATCAAAAAGAAGTCTTGATGACACGAATCTTGGGAAAATAACAGGGTTTTTCCTTGATATTCTTGAAGAGTTAAAAGAAACCAAGAAGGGAGATAAGAAGAAGGTATTGAAATTAACAATGGATGAAAATGAATACATGTTAAAGTTCTGAAAATCAATAAAGACCAAAGAAAGAAAAATCCAAGTCCATAAGTTTATTCAATTTGCAAATATGATGTTTGATGTTGTGAGTATAGATAGGATTTTGTATTTTCTCTTGCATCATAAATATCTGTACAACAAGTTAAATAACTTTTACCTGTTTTATCTAAAGGATTTTAAGAATTAAAATAAGAGGTATGTATGTGTGCTGAATTTATTTATACAGTTGACAGTGTGACATGGGAAATAAGTTCTCGCACAATTTATGAAATCATGCCCAAGTTGGCGTGGGTGGTGCATCTTAGTCTGAGAGTGATTCAGTTCATTCAAAGGGTGAGTTTTAATCAGCATTGATTATGGGATGCAATTGTGTTACAAACATTCTGAAAAATGTAGCTTTGTTAAGTTATATTTCTTAAGGGTGTAGTCTTTTAATCTTTGCTGGACTTGTTGGCTTAACTGAGGATAAACGAAGCTACTTATTTCGTGTGTTGCCTGTTAACTGCTCAAAGCTTATTCTTGTTATGTGTAGCAACTTCTAACAACCATTTATGAGTCTACTTTTTAGGAAATTACATGAATACTAAATGGCCTCTCAATGAACTTCAACTGATGAATTTAAATGACCACTGAATTTGTAGATTACAATGAAAAATAATAAAATAGCCACTTTTTTGCATTTATCAGAATTTGTAGCTTGGTTTCTTTTTCCCTTAATCATATTGGGTATTGATTGATGTCCATGTGTTGGCTGATTATCAAAAATAATGATTTATCTGTATACATAGGATGGTACAAGTCACTCTTGATAATACAAGTGCTTAATAAAACGATTTGTGTTAGACAGTGATTTTTTGTTGTACATGGGCCCTCAACTTATCAAGAGTGACTTGTAATTGCTTTTCCAAAAATGTAATACGTAATACAAAATTAAATACATAATTAATTATGAGAAGAATTAATTTATTGAGGAATTTATTATTACTATTATATATACAGTATATACACTACTTGGAAGAAAGCAGTTTTTTTTATAATAAAATAATCAATTTTGTAGCTCAGGTTTTCACGAATGTATATTGTTTCTAGCATGATTATTTTGTTTAAAATGGCTATTGGAAACTTAAATGTTTTTTTTTGCATTAATTACAATAAAGATTTTTATTTATAAAAGCACAATCCAAAAAATCAACAAAAAATAGCTTCTACGAGTAAAAATATCACAAAAAAAAAAAAGGTAAAGAACTTGTTCAATTATCAGAAAATGAACTGGCTGGAATCATCAAAAACAATTGATGATGATAATAAAGAAAACATGCCTTTTTAGTGGTTGTATCTGTTGATTATTCGGGTGTTTGAGTACTTGGTAATCAATAAAGCCCAACACCTGATGAAAATTTTCAACACCTGATCAACCTGAATATCTATCATTCAGCGGATACTATGCCTTTTAGTTTGAAATTGAAGAACATGGAATTTCTTTGGAAGAAAGTAAAATGTCATTGAATGAACGTGTTATAAAGGCTAAAATGTCATTGAATGAACGTGTTATAAAGGCTAGAAAGATTAATTAGAAAATATTAGAAAAAAGAAATAATAGTTCTTATTCAATTTTAGGAGAAATTTTATATTTATAATAATACAGTCAACCCCCTCTAAGTGCACCCTCTCTAAATACACTCACTATATAAACCCTCTCTAAATGCATGCCATATCTCATTCACAAACTTATAGTGAGCTTATAAAATTACTCCCTCTAAAATCCACACCCTCTCTAAATGCACGTTCATGAGAAATAGTGATATGTTCCCAAGGAGGGTGCATTTAGAGTGGGTTGGCTGTAAATAATGATAAATTAGTTGGATTATATAATATGTACAAAAGTTTCGTAACACTTGCTTTTGTTAATTGCGAAATCCCATGCATCTAGGTTCGAATAAATATATAAAATGAAATTCTATTAAAAAATTTTCTTTGGCTAAATTTCTGATGCGAAATTTTTAATTTAAAATTTCAACTACTTTTAATATTTAATTGGGTATCTTTTGCTCTTTATACAAGCCTGAATTCTTCTAGGCATGTTTTCAATCAAATTCATTAAAACATTTTGAGGAATTTTATTCCATTTCTCTTTTAAAGCAGCATCAAGTTTTTAAAGATTTCTAAATTGTTAGAATACGACATACTGTTGTGGTGGGAAAGCCAAGTATTTTAGGGATATTTCTATATGAGGCTCCACTTTTATAAAGGCCAACTATTTGTCTGCGTTGAGCTTCAGTTAAATTAGACTTTTTTTTTTTTTTTGAAATTTAAAATTTTTGAATACTTTAAGATTTTTTTTAAAACAAAAATCTTAAAAAATATGTTAAAAAATATTTTTTCAGAATCAGCAAAACTTGGGTTTTCATATACAAATTTCCAAAACATATTACTATGCAAACATCATGTCAAAAATTTTTGATTGCCAAAATTCATTTTTATATATTTATTCGAGTTCTACGAAACCTAGATGCGTGGGATTTTGCATAGATATCTAAACCGCAAATGGTATAAATTTCATATATGGTTATTATGCATATGTTTTCTCAATTAACAAAAGCAAGTGTTCCGAAACTTTTGTCCAGGTACTGTATATACCACTTGGCTTTTAATCCTCATTACATGAAAAAGTGGGGGATTTTTCAAGATTTTTGAACGACAACAAGATGCAAAGTGGGTATGGTTCCTAATCCAATAATGTTCTACAAGAAGAGTTACATATAGGAATTGTGTTAACTCTAGACTGCTTTTTTGGGAATGTAGTTTGTTTCTATCAAAAAACTCCCAATTCTCTATACATTACTTGTTTTCTATGTTATCATAAAATTGCGCAAATATTCTCAAGAAACTAAGCTATAAAAAATTCTGCAGCTGATTGCATTCTTCTTGTACTACAGCTCTTATGTTCTATACTTGGCTGTAACTTCTTAATTACAGACACTAACTTTAGTGAATGTGCATGCAAAACTTTATGTTTCTAGCATTTATTTAAATTTTAATGATTTTCTTTTTCAATTATTAGGATTTTCTCAATGTATTTATAATTTGAAAAGGATATCTCTGGATTAAAGCTCTGAACGAGCCAAGTTTATACTTAGCACAAGCCAGCTCGAAATTTATATTTTTACGATTTCGCGAACCATTGAAAATAAATGAAGTAAACAATAATAAACTGTATAACATACTAAAAATTTCAAATGGTTCAAGATTCCATGTTTTAACCGATTTCTAGGTTTTGAAATATATGCATACAGCTAAACCTCGTTACAACGAATCATAAGAAAATTGTATTTAAATTCGTTATAACAAAATCACTAATCACGTTACAATGAATTTTATGTGTTTTTAAAAAGTTCGTTGTAACGCAAATTTAATTCGTTGGATGAGGTTAGACTGTATAAAATTTGCTCAGATAGTTGTGAAGAATTAAAGCGAAACGCAAAAAAAATCTATTATTATTATTATTGAGAATTACTACCGTAATACAAATTCTTATTTAAATAGAAAGCTCTAAGTTGGGCAACTCAATTAAAGTTTAAATTTTCAAGTTCGAGAAAATAGGTTGTTTTTTGGTAAAAAAAAAAGAATAAATTAATCTAAAAAAATTTATGCGACATCATTGTCAGTATAATGATAATAGGCGAATTGATTGAGATTATGGAATAATTTTCCTTGTACTATCAATTTTTGTACATTTCTATTTTTAAATACAGCCTACTCTCTCTATAACGACCCTCTCTATAACGGCCACTAAGTAAAATTTCTCTGTAACGAACTTCCCTTTTGTCCCTGTTCCATTTTTTATAATTAATTTCTCTCTCTATAACGACCATCTTAATAAACTCTCTCTATAACGACCAAAAGCAGAGAAATTACATATAGGGACAGAGGGTTCGTTATAGAGAGAGTGAACTGTATATGGATTTGATATAAAATACGTGCTAGATCACTTTGAAAATCAATTATTGTCTAACTTTGTTGCATTCGATACTTGTTGTACAGTCCAAACTCATTACAGTAAATCTCGTTTACAGTAGAAATGGTTTTACATTGAACTTTTTCATGTCCCAGCTCACACTATAATAAATTTTGCATTACAGTTAACATCATAATAAAATCTCTTTTTATGTGAACATCGAAGATTTTTTAAATAGTGGAGGTCACGTGGTGTTGATCATAAGGTCTTCGTATTAGTATTATTGGCTAATTTTCCTTATTTCTAAATTAGTTATTATAATTTGTGATTAATAATATCTTAGCATGATGTCATCTGGCTTAAGAAATTTTAATGGCTTGTTTAGCTGGCTGGATCAATCCAAAGAAACGTAATACTAAAAATTTGTATACAAGTTTCTATATAAATTTACTCAACTTGCCAATAAATGATTTTAGAATTGCGTCAAAAAAAATTTACTGATGTCATTATGATTAATGATTTAAATTAAATTATATAATATGAAGAGGTTTTCGTTACAGTGAACAAAATTCTGGGATCGTTGTAATAAGCTTCGAACTGTATATCTTCTATATACTAAAACTTGTTCATTTTGCTTTGTATTACTATTTATAAATTCAACAAAATGTCAACTCGTTTTTCATCATTAGAAAATTTAAACTTGTTATTTAACAACTTAATTAATACAAAAAATGATACCCTACCATTAAAATACATTAGTAAACTTGTAGATGATTTAACAAAGTTATTGAATGAATCAGATTTTTATGACGTGAAAATTAAAGTTGGAGTAGATGAGGATGCCAAAATTTTTAAAGCTCATTCTAGCATTTTAAAGGCAAGGTCTTCATATTTTAAAGCTGCTTTATCAAATATCTGGATAAAAAAATCTGATGATGGTATTATTTTATTTGAAAAAGAAAATATTTCACCGAATGTATTTGAGGTTCTTTTAACGTAAGATTATTTTAATTTATTTTAATTTTATAATTTTTAATTAAATTGTCTAATTAATAAATTGAATAATTGTAATAATTCTGTAGATATATTTACAATGGGATTCCTAATATAGATAATCTGAATGCAAATGAAATTGTTGAACTTCTTGAAGCATGCGATGAATTAAATTTTAATGAATTAATCAATGACTTACAAAACTATTTGATTAACAAAGAAAAAGAATGGATTCAACAGAATTTATTTTATTTTTATAAAATTTCATCATGTCATCAAACATTCAACTTGCTCCAAGATTATTGTTGTGAGATAATTAGTAAAAATCCAGGATTATTTTTTAAATCTAATAACATTGGAACAATTGAAAAATCCATGCTTATAACTATGTTAGAAAAAGATGATTTGAGATTGAATGAAATTGATATTTGGGATATTGTCATTCAATGGGGAAAAAATCAAAATGAAAAATTAGATAAAGATATTTCACAATGGATGAAGGAGGATTTTATCGTGTTAAAAAATGTATTACATGATATTATTCCACTAATAAGATTTTATGAAATTTCTGCTATTGATTTTTATGATAAAATCAAACCTTATAAAAAGGGTTTTGATAAAGAAATATATGAAGAAATTCTCCAATACCTGCTTACTAATAGGTACCAACCAAGATTTATACTTCAAAAAGGTCCAAGATCAAAAATAAGAACTGGAAAATTATTAAATTTACAAGTGAAATCTCTAATTTTAAATTGGATTGATCTAAAAAATGTTCTATATAATAAAAACAATGTACCTTATGAATTTAAATTAGTTCTTCAGGGCACTCAAGATGGATTCTCTAGATCTGTATTTGAGGATAAATGCTATAATATTGAACAAACTGTAGCCATTATGAAAATTAAAGATACAGGAGAATTGGTTGGTGGCTATAATCCAGTTTGTTGGAATATAAAAGAAAAGTCTCCTGATGATGAATATTGGATTGAAACAGATAAAAGTTTTATTTTCAAAATTGATGAAAATCAGATAAATAATTCAATATTAAGTAGAGTTATAGATCCAAGATATGCAATATATCATAATGAACAAAAGGTCCATGTAACTGCAACTAATATAAAATTTCATGAAAAGACTATAAATTTTGATGATTTACGTCTATGTAATAGTATTAACAATGATCCTTATTGTTTTTATTATTATGATGGTTCTTCCAAGGACTCTTATAAAAATGATTTAAATTTTAGAAATAAAAATAAAATTCATTTGGTAGAAGAATTTGAAGTTTATAGGATAATAAAAAAGAATTAATTTATTGTGGTATTTATTATTATAGATAATTTTACTTTAACTATTGAAATAAGTTAGCAAACAAAAATCAAGACTATAACAATTAAATAATAAAAAATTAATCCCAAGAATACTTCAAAATTTAAGAAAGAAGAACAGGATTGAAAATTGACATAGATCCAGCTGACAAATTTTTTAAAACACGAATTTTTTCCTTTATAAACAATAATAGTAATAATAATAATAATTTTTATTTTTCCTTTATTTATAAATAAAATAAAATTACATGATTTCATTTTTATATTATTGATAATTTGATCAATACATAATTATGTATATGAAGCAAGTACTATAAAATATCTTGAATATAACTAATAGAAAACTAATCTGCACATACCATTAGTCATCATCATCTATACAATAATCTTATAAATCATGTTTAATGATGGCTGCTGAGTTCAGGTTTAGTAACAAATTCTTTGTCACATCCAAGTATATTACATTCATGATTTTTTTTTTTTCCAAAATGACATTTTTATGTATTCTTAAACTAGTTTTACTATAAAATGTTTTGGGTACATCCAGGATATTCACTTTAAATAATTTATTCCAAGATGAATTCTTTTTGTATGTAATTAAAATCCAATTTTTTGATAAAATGTCTTGAATACATCCTGGATATTCACATTTGAAATTTTTGTAAGATGATATTTGAATTTGTGTGTATTAGTAGTGTGTCTTTATCAGAATAAGCTTTAGTACATCCTAGATATTCACACCTGAAATTTTTTATTCCAAGATGATAGTAGATCCAGGATACTCACATTTGAAATTTTTTATTCCGGAATGGCATAATCTATGGTGTAGTAAATTAGCTTTAAAATAATATGCTTTAGTGCATCCTGGATATTCAATATGGAGTTTTGTGTGATTTAGCAAACCACCTTGTTGATAAAATGATTTTGTACATCCTGGATACTCACATTTTAGATTTTTTTCACTGTGGATTAAACTGTGTTGATTAAGTGCATTTTAAATCTAAAAATCTTGTCATAGCCTGGAAATCTCAAAAAATTTCATTACCAAGTTCATCACCATCATTTTCATCACCAAAATTCTCTCCCAATTTCAAGATCATTATTATTATTATCAACACAACCTCATTTTCACTATCTTTATTTTTATTTTCATTTCCATTTTGATTCTCTTTATTGTTGTAAATGTTATATAATTATAGTCATGATAATCTTATAATTTTTTTTGATTTTGTCATCATTGCTATTAATCTAAACCCAACAATCTATCAATCTATTATCATCATATTAATAAATAAAAATAACAGAACAAATAAAATATGATTAACCTTATAAGGTACTTTTTTTGGCATTTTGAAACTTTTTAATAATTGGAATCATTAATTAATATTATTTTTTGTCTTTTTAATCTTCTTACATAATCAACATAATACACAAATATGATTGGGTGGATTAATTATAGAAGACAATTATGCGATATTAAAAAATTGTAAATAAATAAATAAATAAATTAATAAAGGGATTTATTTATTAAAAGTAAATCGTTTTAAATAATAATATCTTGCTCTATAATGGACTGATAATTTAAGCCCAGTTTATATATTTATATGTCCCATATAAATCATTACTGTCTATAACGGACATTTTTTCGTAATAGCAAGCCAAAATGGTCTATTATATATAGAGAGCGTGAAATGCATATTTAAACATTACACCACAATTAGGGATGTTAATTCACCTCGGTCGAGCATAATTGAATTGAGTTTAAGCACAAATTTGATTTAACGTTTTTAATATCCGTTCGAAACGCACTCATTTCAAACACGATTTCAATTATACTTTATAAATTACGCCATAAAAGTTTGATTTATATTATTACCAAAGTATCTTTGAAGCATGTGCCCAAGAAAATTTGTTTATATATATAATTTCTATTAATTCAATATAGCGATAATGATTTTCGTCTTTAATAAATTATAACATGACCAAAGAACAAATTGAATATAATACCAATATGATTTTTCTATCAATAATTATACATCATCGCTACTTTGTTTTTAAAACTAAAAAAAAGGATGCCTGAACCTCATTAGGCGATTTCTATGGGTTCATGCGCAAATGGAGGAGGATATTATCATTATTCTTATAGTGCTGTTAGAGGGTAATTGCAAGATAATAAATGTCTGAATTAATAACAATAATAATGTCATTGATTATTGATAGATGAATTGTTTATTATTAACAGATGTGATAGAATAGTTCCTGTAGATATTTATGTCCATCAACAGCAGAAGCTTTACTATATGGTGTATAAAAAAAGATGAGAAGATCTAGAGTTTGTCATTGATATTTATTTTTTAAATTATTGTAATTATTATTTTGACGTAAAATTGACAACACAACTTTGGTACAAGAAATAAACTTGTGACCTATGATTTGCAACTGTATCACATTTTTTATTCCAAGATAACGTTTTTGTAAATGACTTTTACAATAAAAGGAAATCAACGCCCTTTAATCCATCTAAACAATTCATCTCTTCCATCTAATAGATAATGCAATGTAACTAAGCAGAAGCATGTAATATTGCATGTACATAACACTCATTGTCGTATTTTTCCTACAATCAATGATTTGAGAATGAATGCATTTCAAAAGAAAGATAGATAGACTACAATACAAAAAACATTTATTATTGTTTCTTTAATTTCATTATAACCACTCAAAACAGAAAATCTCAGCATCAATGACTTTCTTATTTGATCGGCTAACTAAATGAAAAAAAGAATACTTATTTAAAGACGTGGTTTTTCTTTCATTTTTAAATTATCTCATAAAAATGAGTAAGTTTCCAATGGTCACAGAGTCATTCATTACATTGAGATTCAAAAAAAATTGTTCCAATAGTAATCTTTGCTACTAATTATATTTGTATCTAACCAACTTTTTTTTATTATTATTTTTTATTCAAGGTCACTGTAATTATCCCTCCTCATATGACGGACAGAGATGTAGAAGTCAAGAAACTTGTGAGATATGTTATAAATGTGATCGACATTGTACATGCATTCGTAGTGGTAAATAGAATTTTTTTTTTTTTTTTTTTATTGTCTGGCTGGGAAAACTATTTTTTTGAATCTTAATGTCAAATCAATCTCAAATTGACTCTGTGACCTAAAAATAAAAATTGAACATACTTATCGCATAATAATAAAAATACAAACACTTGTCTCAATATGAAACTTACTATAAACCCTTGTTGTCATGTCTGATTCCATTCCACCCTGGTGTTTGTTCAAGGAGCGGTTAGTGACTTTGACATTATTCTTCTTTCATTTTTTAATTTCTTCCATGCATAATAGACATTTATCGTTCGTGCAGAGAAAATAATCTAACCTAATTTTACTCTCTCTCAGTTCCAATTATGATCATGATGTGCATGATGAAATGTTTATTCGCTTAGTTGTTTTACTCTACAACAAAAATAGAAGCATAGAAATATAAGAAATATTGTTACCCAAAGTAAAGTTGACCAAGAGTACGATCAATATGCAGGTCAAATAATTAAGCTGGCAATCTTTGGAGTTTGAAATCCACTTATCGCCAGATACCACAAACCAATGAAAATACCCCAAGAACGCTTTTGAGCGTGCACAAATGGATAGTATGGAACAGCGAGTCAATTACGTGAATATACAAATACAAAGATCGCATCCACTTACACAAATCCCCCAGTCAACTGGGAAAGTATTAATTGATTCGATGTTATATGATATTATATCAATATGGAATAGCAATAAAATTAACAAATACAAGAATGGCAATAGTTATTCCAAAGAGTCACGCACAGCAGCCACCTTTTCTCCTTTTGAAAATTTCCCCTTGTTTGATAACATCCAAATATAAAAGGGTGGCGTGGCTGTGAAATATCTGTAATTTGATCGATTTTCAATATTGGTATTTCCTTTATAATAATTTTGTTTGAAATGTGGCTTCTCTGAATTATAATTTTTTTTGATTATTAATTAAAAAAAAAAAAAAATAGGATAAACATTAATTTATCAAGTCTGTGATTGAGATTAAATCTTCATGTGTGTTTAAGCCATTAAGCATGAATGAACATACTTTTAAACTTATTGTTATCCATCACAAAGAATTCTAAATGATTCAAAAATTTCCACTTAAGATATATATATATATATATATATGCGCATGTATTTCCATCAAGCATATGTTACCAGAATTAGGATTTAATGTCGATTTATTTGTCGAAATACCTAATTCCTAATCAAATCTTTTATTTTTCTATTTTTACTTTATTTTTATATCTATCTTTAATTTATTCATTTCTTATTTTATTTTTATTCATTTTTTATTTACGTTCTTACTATTTTATTTGAACGTCGAAATTAGTTAACTTTGTTTAGAAATTAACGTCGCGGTTAGAATGTCACGTTGCAATTAAAGTGCGATATCGCGATTAGAATGCTAATTAATTTAATTGTATATTAGAAGCTCGTACTTGTAAAAACTTTCTTAGTTTTATAATAAAAATTAAGTTGGAAATGAGTCAATAAATTAGTTTCGACTAAATAAAACGTTTTCTTAAATCACTAAACCAAAATTATTCGCTAATAAAACTAATTCGTTAGTAATAGCCAATTCATTCTGATCCAGATAATCATAAATTTATATAATTGGTGACACATATTAGAATTCTCTTAATCAACAATTACCTTTAATCACCAATACTTGATGCATGAAATCGGCACATAACTCGAAAGCGTAACCTATTGACCGAGATTGAAGCTAATAATCAAAATCCTATTATTGAGACTTTTTTGAGGCGTGAGATTGTAAGTTATGATAGAAAAAAGCAACGCCCACTTGAAAATCGGGGCACAAAATTGTTGAGAAATTGCCACATGTTTCATGTGACCATGAGAAATAAAATATTATTGTATCTATGTATGGCGATCAACATTTTATGTTACGTAAGGGTTTGTTTATATGCACGCATCTATGGAAAAACCTTAATATTAAACTTAAAATTATTCAGCACCTGACTGTGGGTGACACGCTGGGAGACTATCAAAATTAACTTGCAAAATAATCTTGGCATGAAGGAAAAAGATAGTTCAATAATAATAATACATCAAATAACCAATAATTAATTGATAAACATCACGATCACATGGACCATGTAAGATCGTGAGATAAAAACCGTCCAAGCTATTTAACCACAAGAAGATTAATGTGTAGGCACGCACAACAACGATCTGTTATTATCATCAGAAATCGAAAGTATTTCTTTTTTATTTTTATTATTATTATAAAAATCAATATTCGCTAATAAATTTCTTGGAGCTCATTACGTTTTATTATTATGTTTTTGTTACAATAAAAGGCAATTTGAATCAACTATTCATATTTAATTTAGAGTAAAAATTAGATTATCATTTGTCATTTTGTTTGTTCGAGATGGACTACAATACAAAAAACATTTTATTATTGTTTTATTGTGGCTTTTTTCAAAATGGCAAATTTCAGAATCAATATTAATATGACCTTATTTGATCGGAACAAAAAAAATACTTAAAGACGTGATTTTTCTTTCGTCTTAAAATTATCCCATAAAAATGAGTTTCCAATGATCACAGAGTCATTCATTACATTGAGATTCAAAAAAATTTATTCCGATAACAATGTCTGCTAGTAATTATATTTGTTTTTCTAATAACCAACCTTCTTTTATTTATTAATTGACACCATAGATATAGGAAAACGACGAAGTCGTATAAAAAATTATTCAAGATTTCTATAATTAAATAAAGATTTGGGAGAGCTTTAATTGTTCTTCTCATAGGTGCCTATAATGGTATTTATTTATTATTATTATTATTATTATTCAAGGAACAAATCAAAAAAGAAATTAGTCACCCTATAATGACATTTATTTATTATTATTATTCAAAGAACGAAACAAAATAGTATTAATACCCTAAGTGGTGTTATTCAACACAGGTGCGCTTCTTGATTGAATTTCGTTACAACACAGGTAAGGTGTAGGAGGATTAATTGAACTTGACTTGACAAAAGTTATTCTGGGTCATTCTATTTGTTCCGATAGCAAGATCTGCTAGTAATTATATTTGTTTCTAATAACCAACTTTCTTTTATTTATTAATTGACACCATAGATATAGGAAAGTCGTATAAGATTATTCAAGATTTCTATAATTAAATAATACGATCGAGGCATTAATCGCCTCGAGTTCACGGGTGCCCCCATAATGGTATTTATTATTATTATTATTATTATTCAAGGAACAAATCAAAAAAGAAATTAGTCAACCCCATAGTGACATTTATTTATTATTATTATTCAAGGAACGAAACAATAAACAGAATTAATACCCTAAGTGGTAATATTTCAACACAGGTGAGGTGTAGGAGGAGTAAATGAACTTGACTTGACAAAAGTTATTTTGGGTCATTCTATTTGTTCTGATAGCAATATCTGCTAATTATATTTGTTTTTCTAATAACCAATTTTCTTTTATTTGTTAAAGGTTTCTTAATCAATATATAAAAAATTTCTTGGGTGTGTTTAACAACAGGTGTGAATCAACTGTTTTTGTGGATGATACAGATTACCATGGAAAAAACATGGTAAATAAAAGCTTTCTTTTTATTTATTATTTGTCATTGTATTTGTTCTGATAGCAATATTTGCTAATTATATTTGTTTTTTCTAATAACCAATTTTCTTTTATTTGTTAAATGTTTCTGTATGCAAAAAAATAAAAAAAAAAATCTTACTCTAGACATGCTTTACTTAGAAGATAAAAGCCCCACTCACTGGAGCTAGGGCTCATGTATGATCACTATATGAAAGAGACAGTCCTCCAACTGGAGAAAGGTAACTGAACAAACTGTTTGTGGATGATACTGATTACCATGGAACAAACCATCGTGGTAAATAAAAGCTTTCTTTTTTTATTCTTATTACCTGGCCGGGGGACTATTTCTTTGAATCTCAATGTCAAATCTCAAATGACTCTGTAACTTAAAAATAAACGTAAATAATATTATGAACACATAATAATAAAATAAAAATACTTATCTCAACATGGGTCAAAGTGATCCCATTCCACTAGTGTTTTGCTCGATGGCGGTTGGTGGCTTTGACATTATTATTCTTATATTTTTTAAACAATGTATTTTCTTTCATGCATGACAGAATTTATTCTTACATAAAAATAAAGCTAACGAGATTAACTCGGTAGTGCTAAGTGCTCTCAGTTCTGATAATTATAATTGTGTAATGCGTACGATAAAATGTTTATTCGCTTAATTTTTTTACTCGACAAAAATACAAGCATAGAATATATTTATATAAAAAATATTGTTGGTCGCCAAAACTATTTTGAAGAGATGGAAATCAAAACTAAAATTAAAAAGTTATGTCAAAAGTTAATAGTCAAAAATCAAAACTAGTTTCGACTTTCGCACGGTTGCAAAACTCTCTAGTTTTGGAAAAACAACAACACTAATAAGAAATAAAGCAGAGTTGATCCAAGAATACATCTTAAATCTATATTCAAGTTCAAAACAATCAAGCTGACAATGATATATGTACATGTATATAAGAGCATATGGATATAGCAATAAAACCACCAAATACAAATAATGGCAATATTTATTCCAAAGAGCCAGGCACACGACAACCACTTTCTTCCCTTGTTTTAAAATATCCGTAATGTGATCGATTTGGATGGACCCAATATTGATATAAATATCTTTATTTCCTTTTTTTTGTGTTGAAATTTTTAATAATTAGCTTAGAAATTTGAGATTCTATTTATCTTATATTTGACTTATCCGAAATTATAATTTTATTATATTAAATAAGATCAAATAATACAAAGAAAAAAAAAATGGCATGAACATGAATTTATTTGTGATCGAGATTAAATGTTCATTTGCGCTTAAGTCAGTCATTAAGCATGAATTAATATATTCTCCTTTTTACAAATTAAATCGTGATTTATTTTTCCGGTCGTTATCATGTTTAAACTTATCCATCACAAAGAATTCCAAACAGTTCAAAATTTCCATCTAATACACATACGCATGTATTCCCTAATCAACCACCTTAATCACCGATATTTGATGCGTGAAATCGGCACATAACTCGAACGCGCAATCTAATGACCGAGGTTGAAAATCGGGGTACAAATTGTCGAGAAATTGCCACATGTTGCATGTGACCATGAGAAATAAAATATTATTGTATCTATGTATGGGCGATCAACATTTTATGTGTCTATGCGTTACGTAAGGGTTTGTTTATATGCACGCGTCTATGGAAAAACCTTAATATTAAACTTAAAATTATTCAACACCTGACTGTGGGTAACACGCTGGGAGACTATCAAAATTAACTTGCAAAATAATCTTGGCATGAAGGAAAAAGATAGTTCAATAATAATAATAACACATACTTTCCTTTTTTCCAAATCCTCAAAACATATAGATAGTTAAAGAAGTTAACCAACAATTAATTGATAATCGTCACAATCACATGGATCATGAGATAAAAACCGTCCAAGTTATTTAACCACAAGAAGGTTAATGTGTAGTCACGCACAACAACGATCTGTTATTACCATCAGAAATCGAAATTATTACTTTTTTTATTATTGTTATAAAAAATCAATATTCGTTAAAAAATTTCTTGGGGCGCTCTGCAGCTTCAACGCAAAACATCGAAATCCTTTTTGTGTTGAGTTCAGATTTTGTTCATCACATTCAAATACATTACGCTTTGTTTTGTTACAATAAAAGGCAATTTGAATCAACTATTCATATTTAGTTTAGAGTAACAATTAGATTATCATATGTCATTTTGTTTGTTCGAGATGGACTACAATACAAAAAACATTTTATTATTGTTTTATTGTGGCTTTTTTCAAAATGGCAAATCTCAGAATCAATATTAATATGACCTTATTTGATCGGAACAAAAAAAATACTTATTTAAAGACGTGATTTTTTCTTTCGTCTTAAAATTATCCCATAAAAATGAGTTTCCAATGATCACAGAGTCATTCATTACATTGAGATTCAAAAAAATTTATTCCGATAACAATGTCTGCTAGTAATTATATTTGTTTTTCTAATAACCAACCTTCTTTTATTTATTAATTGACACCATAGATATAGGAAAACGACGAAGTCGTATAAAAAATTATTCAAGATTTCTATAATTAAAAATACAAAAAGGCCATAATTCTTTTTTTATTTATTATTATTATTATTCAAGGAACAAATCAAAAAAGAAATTAGGTCCACCATAGTGACATTTATTTATTATTATTATTCAAGGAACGAAACAATAAATAGAATTTAATACCCTAAGTGGTATTATTCAACACAGGTGCGCTTCTTGATTGAATTTCGTTACAACACAGGTGAGGTGTAGGAGGAGTAAATGAACTTGACTTGACAAAAGTTATTCTGGGTCATTCTATTGTTCCGATAGCAATATCTGCTAGTAATTATATTTGTTTCTAATAACCAACTTTCTTTTATTTATTAATTGACACCATAGATATAGGAAAGTCGTATAAGATTATTCAAGATTTCTATAATTAAATAATACGAGCGAGGCATTAATCGCCTTCAAGGAACAAATCAAAAAAGAAATTAGGTACCCATAGTGACATTTATTTATTATTATTATTCAAGGAACGAAACAAAATAAAATTAATACCCTAAGTGGTACTATTCAACACAGGTGAGGTGTAGGAGGAGTAAATGAACTTGACTTGACAAAAGTTATTCTGGGTCATTATATTTGTTCTGATAGCAATATCTGCTCATTATATTTGTTTTTCTAATAACCAATTTTCTTTTATTTATTATTTACTATTAAAAGTTTCTATAATTGATAAAGTGACTATTCAAGGTTTCTATAATTGATAAAGTGACTATTCAAGGTTTCTATAATTAATAAAGTGACTATTCAAGATTTCAGCATAAGTAGTAAATCAACTGTCCGTGGATACGATTATCATGGTAAATAAAAATTTTCTTTTTGTTCTTTATTTATTATTTGTCATTGTATTTGTTCTGATAGCAATATCTGCTAATTATATTTGTTTTTTCTAATAACCAACTTTCTTTTATTTGTTTAAAGGTTTCTGTAATTAATATACAAAAGTTTCTTAGGTGTTTAACAACATAGATGAACCAACTGATACCGATTACCATGGAACAAACATGGTAAATAAAAGCTTTCTTTTTTTATTCTTATTACCTGGCTGGGGAACTATTTCTTTGAATCTCAATGTCAAATCTCAAATGACTCCGTGACTTAAAAATAAACATAATACTGTCTGGGATTTTACCATATCAGTATGATAAAAAATTGTTGATCATGTACATATATTTTTTAAAACTTTATGTTTGATATAGTTTTTTAATAAAGAAAATGAAAACAGTTTTATTTTATTATATTTATTTTTATATATTATTTGTTGAATATTTGTTTGAAAATATGATTTGAATTTAATTTCATTATTGTTATATTTGATGAGTGCAATGCATTCTAAACATGTGTAAGAATTTTATAAAACCATGGCTCTTGTATATGTTGTATTTTATCTCAATAAAACTTGTTACAGTATGATATGTTTGTTTAAAACCATGATCTAAATAATTCTTTTGACCATAAATAAGATGTCCTTTGGGTAAAGGTTTATAATAATAATCCTAATAAAACGAATAAAACGAATAAAACGAGAATAAAAATGAATAAAAGCACGAATAACAGCAAATTTGTACTACGAATAGAAACCATGTATTGATATTAAAATCAATAAACAAACAAATAGCTTTTATTGCGAAATAAATAATTTTGTTTCTTTGGTGTTAATGATTGAATCGATTATTTTTAATGTTGAAAATTTTTTTTTTGATACATCAATCTCAGTCCAAAATCAATCATATTTATATACTTTAGAGTTTCTTTATTTCTTTTTTTTGATAAATAATAAATTTATCCTTTGTTTATTTGTTTTAGGTTTTTATTGGATCAAAAATTGTACACTACAGCAAAATTTCGGAGAACCAAAGTGTATCACACATAATAAGTATACAAAAAAAATATTTGGCTTGTAGCCTAGGTCCCGTAGAATATGAATGCAAAATTTCGTGTCTCCCGATTTTCTATGTCATTATTATTATTGAAATTCAATTATTTCGAAAAAGAAAATTTTGCACGCATAATAATAATTTATAGGGCCTAGTACTAGGCCACAGATCACATAGTCAACCCCGTTATTCCGTTCAAAATTAGTATTATTGTTTGAATTTTTGAAATTTTTAACAGAGTTGTTGGATTCATCCATTTTTTGTGTTGATAATTGTTTCATACTTCCTGCATACCATGTGACCCAGTTTGCAACTGTTGACATTTTTAGGAATATCCCCAGCTTGAGTTTCGCCTTCATCAGCTAAAATTTGAAGTTCGCTTACCATTTCCTTTGCTGTCATTTGATCACTTTTGTTTACATTACCTGATAAAGGCTATATACTTCAAGATAGGATTTTATATTTTTACTCACATCTCCTCCTTTTATTCCATATTTTTGTTTGCATTTCAACATCCATCTTTCTTACAATTCAAATTCAGCAACTATATTAAACCATAGAAACAACCATTATATTATAATTTAATGAAAAGGTATACCTGTATCTAATGAATGTGTAATATTTTTTGATATGACATCCTTGATTAATCTAAAAATATAAATAAAATAAACATAAATGTAAATAAATATGTAAATATAATAAAGCACAATACATATTTTGTTTTACCTTGAACATGAGACAATGAAATATTCCATTGTTTTCATGGACTGGATGAAAAGAAATTAACTGTTTTCACTTTATGATTTTGGTACTTTGGGCAACATACTGCTGTTTTCTATTTTCCTTCTCTCATTTAAATTGTGGCCAATACTCTTGAATCTAATGAAGGCATGCTTTCTAATTAATAGAATATATATATCTTTGTAATATCATAACTTTCAGAAAACTTCCCTTGTACATGATGAGAGTCAATGCTTGATTTTTTTCCCAGGTTCAAAAAATATCCAACTGCAAACTTCGATATTTTACCATTGATAACAGTAGGAAATTATAGTCATTGATTTTGAGTAGTGGTAATGGGCATCATTGTCTGAAAATACTTCAATCCATTGTGATAAATCCAAGTTAGCTGAGCCTTTTGTACTGACTGATAATGTTTATCATCAATTTTTGTGTTGCAGCAAATCAATTCCTTTTTTATATATCGATTCTAAATAGAATTAACTTTTGTTAAAAATAAATTTTGTAATCAACAAATTATATAAAGATGGTTGGTGCTGATTTCTTTTTTTATGGTTTTAAATTAAGAAAAACGTTAACAATGAAAGAATGCATTATTAGGATTTATTATTTGGACGTAAAAAGACACCAGCAGAAATGCTACGTGAACATCAACGTGCACTTCAAAGGGCACAGCGTGAAATGGATCGTGAAAGAGTCAAACTAGAAGCCTCAGAAAAAAAATTAATTGCAGATATTAAAAAAGCAGCAAAAGAAAATCAAATGGTAGAACAAATTTTTTTTTTTTTTCATTATAAATAAACGTTAAAAATATGTCGTAGATAAAAAAAATTTATTTATGATCGTAGAGTGCATGTAAGATCATGGCAAAAGATCTTGTTAGAACTAGACGTTATGCTCAAAAGTTTCAAGGAATGAAAGCACAACTTCAAGCAGTTTCATTAAGAATTCAGGTTTATATATATTTAGTTATTTATCTATTTATTCAATCATATCCAATAAAATAATAAATATTTATTTTTTACATAGACTTTAAGATCTAATCAACAAATGACTGAAGCTATGAGAGGTGCTACAAAGGTAACTTACAAACACATATATGCATGCATTATCATTCTTACTGTTTGATAGCTTTACATTATATATATATATATATTTATTTATTTATTTATTTATTTATTTATTTATTTATTTATTTAGGCAATGAAGTCTATGAATAGGCAAATGAATCTACCAGCTATGCAAAAGATTATGATGGAATTTGAAAAAGAATCAGAAATGATGGATATGAAGGAAGAAGTGATGAATGATGTAATTGATGATACAATGGCAGAGGAAGATGATGAAGAGGAAACTGAAATGATAGTAAATCAAGTTTTGGATGAAATTGGTATTACATTGGATCAATCTGTAAATATATTGTTTTTTTTTTTTTTTTTGCTAATCAATTCAAAAGTTAATGTTAATTATTATGATTGATGTTAAAATTAACATACGTTTTTATTATAAGCTTGTTGATGCCCCAACTACAATTGAAAAAGCCAAAACAAATGAAAGAGTACCACAAGCAGCAGAAATGGAATCAAGTGATGATGCTGCATTACAAGCAAGACTTGATCAGTTACGAAGAGAATAGAAAATTGTAGACTAATCATTAAAAAATTTGTGTAAAATAATGTTAATTTATATTTATCCTTTATTGTGTTTAATTAATATTATTATTATTATTATTATTATTACTATACCAATGTAAAAACATAGAGATACACTTTCACATTCTTTTCTTTATATAAAGCTTTGACAAGGATGAGAAGGTTCAAGCAAATCATTATAACAAAGATTAAACATATACTAATATCAATTTTAGAAAGAAAGAAAAATGGGGGTTTTTTTTTATATAATGTGTCTCATATTTTAATTTATTTGTAATATTTTCATTTTTAATTAATTGTTTTATTGACCAGATCAACGTATAAATTCTTTTTATTAATTTTCAAAATATAAAAATATTCATTCTCATTTAAGAATGTGAGTAATTGAGTTAAAAATTTTTTTTTTGTTTTCAGAAATAGCAAAGCCAGAGAACTATTAAAATAAAAGTCCTTGATTTTTTTGATCAGAAAAAAAAGAGAAGAGAATTAGTTAATAACAATTTTATACTTAGCTAGCATTCAAGTGTCTTTATGAAAGAATCTTCATTGGATTATTGGAACGTTCATCTAGCCATTTTCAGTTTAGATTGTGCTCTAGTAAACTGAACCCTCCAATCAAAACATAAGTACTTTACCTGTAAAATTTAAAGTCGGACAAATTTTTTACAAAAAGATTCTCCACATATAGGCATTTTTGTAAACTCGTTGTTTATTTTTGAAAAAAAAACGCCTAATCAACGATATAAATATTTCAAAAGTTGTTGAGATCCTTTGCCAAATATTTCAAATAATAAGTTATTTTACTCCAAAGTTTACTCGTCATATTCAAATCAATCAAATCAACCTTTTATCATCATGTTTGTTGAGCAAAATTTTTTTGTACTAAATAAAAAATAAATAAAATAAATTTATTAAATAGCTAAAAATTACAGGTTATTATAAACATATTGCTAAATTCTCGGAGATTGATTGTGTAAAGCACAAATTTCTTTATCGGCAACTCGTAAAGTGATTTATGTCATTGGATGATGGAATTGGTAGTATATTTTGATTATCATCGTAATTATACTCATTATTATTATTGTTGTTGTTGTTGTTGTTGTTGTTGTTGTTGTTGTTATTGTTATTATTGTTATTATTATTATTATCATTTCCCTTATACACATATTTCATATATAACCATCCAATAACTCCTAAAGCAAATAATCCACCACCAATAGTTCCAACTATAAGCCCGATAATATTATTATCGTGACTAGTATCAGAGGTATCATCAGGAGCATAACCAGGAGGAGAAAGAGGAGGAGGAGCAGCAGCAGCAGAAGTATAAGCAGGAAAAGTGCTAGAAGGAGAAGTTTTAGTAGAAGGAACAGTTCCGCTACTGACATCAAGTTCACACTGAACATAACTTATACAATTCTCATTAATTCCATCATCAAACAAAAAAAATGTCCCAGACTTTGTGAGTTGTAATGTAGCTCTTGGATCTTTATCTGGTATGTCTATAACGTCTAATTTAAAAAAAAAATTAAATATGTTAAAAAATAATCACGAGAGAATACATTGAAATAATTGTACATACATGCATCAGGTCTGTTAGATCTTACACAAGACCCTTTCTCATTGGCTTCAACAATTCGAGAACTTCCGAAGGATGTAGTTTTTTCAAATATTATCTAATAAAAATAATTTAGAAATATTTTGTATTTTTATTATAAAAATGAATAATAAAGTAAATCCTACATTATCTCCAACTCTTGCATCAACTAAATTGGGATAAAAATATCCTCCAATTCCAAAATTTGAAGGAGTAAAAAGAATGCTAATGTTTAAAGCATTACTATAATCAAATATAAAAAGACAGACAGCAAAACAATAAACAATCTTATTTTTTATTAACATATTTAATTATTAATATGTGTAATGTATTTTAATTTTTATAAGAATTTTTTTCTAGAATCATTTAATTAGTGTAAGTTTTTATAGTTTTTGCTTTAGTTGAAACGAGATTTGAAACGCCGTGAATAAAAAAATGAATTAAACAAATTATTCTTTTTTCCGGCATTGTTTTTTAAATGATGATCTACCACATATTCTCCTCTATCAATTTCTCAAAAAAACTTGGTTAGTTGTACTTTAGATTTTGTATCAATCGTGTTTACGATGTTTGGAATGTTTGAGTGACATAAGATATTAATAAAAAGCAATTTTATTTTAAACGAAACTTATGTAGACATATTAAATGGTTGAACAAACGCGATTTTATTTTTGTGTATAGTGCGGGTCACATTAACTATCGTTGTTTTCTGTAATTGTTTTGGAGAAAAAATGATTATTATTATTATTATTATATTCTTTATATGAACATAAAAATAAACTATATTTTGTTGTGCGTGAATTTGGAGTCTGCGTCGATTTGAAATTCACGCGCGTGAAATTCAAATAATCACAATGATAATTTTGGCAACTATTAAAATTAGTTATGGCAACTATGAAAAATTATGATCACAGATAATTTATTAAAGAAGATCAATTATGGCGAAAACCATAACACTAACCTATTGAATAAAATTGTCCAACTTTTAAAAAAATTAGAGATGATTCTGATAACTATTATTGTCTAGTTCTACATACAATCTGTCGTTGAGATAATTTAAGAAAATTATTAGTTTCTATGGCACGTCATTTATAATCTACCGATGGTCAGAAATTTTCAAATGTAGACCTTTCCAATATAAGTAATTTATTTTTGTATTGCGCGAAGCGTGGGTGATTGTATGTCTCGGTAAAACGGACATGTTTTTGTAAAAATCCGTGTATATAGCATATTAATATTTTTTCTTTTTTTGTCCAAAATGGTAAAATTTAATTTGGTTAGCACCACCTATTGTTGCGCTATGTAGCCCAAAATAGCAATTTGTGGGATCATGTCCTAAAAAAGTCTTCATGTAACAGATAATATATTTTTTTAAACGTGGAAAGATATTTAATACACACAATATATAATAAAACACTTTTGTATAGAACTCTGAGGTTTTGATTTATTTTGGTATAAAGCAAAGGTTTGGTTTTTGGTTTTTGCCATGTGTAAACATTTTTGTTTAACTTTTTGTAAATGTAATAGTAAGGTGTTAAGACTGATTGACAAAAATATTAAATGTTAACAGTTAATACTGATCGATCTACAAGAGCCAAGAGTTATTATCACATATTGTATTGTGTTAAAGTAAATCTACTCATTCAACAGGGACACTGGTTGCTACAATAAGTTTGTTATATAAGAAATTCAAAAATTAGAATACCAGGAACTGTAATGTAGTCTCTAGCCTAAAGTTTCGAATGATTTGGTTTTGGTTCAGCTCAAAGAGTAAACTAAAATTTTCAGCTTAATCAAACTGTTCAGAGCTTTTGTTTAAGATAATACCAAATTGAAAAGCGTATTCAAACAGCTGAAGAAATTACATTATTTAATTCATTTATTAACTTTTTTTTTTTTGTTATTTCAATAACATTTTTTTAAAAAATTTCATTTTTAAATCCTTGCTATTTTTGATATGAAAATTTTTAAATGAATTTTATTTTAGGTAGAATTTCTAAAAATTGATCCTACATGAGTCACATGAAAAGGACAGGGGACAGTTATAATAATAAGTGACTGGTTTCCTGTCCTCTGTCCTTTCCAATATTTACCCACTAAATTTGCAAAAGGACGAACTTGGGACAGTTGACCTACATAGGCAGAAGTGGCTAATTTTGCTGATCAAATTCAATCGAGTTCGCATATTATTTATATAGTTTAAAGTACTTTTTAGAATTTTTAAGAATGCAACGTTTTCACTAATAAAAAAATGAAAAGTCATTGCAAAAGCCTTTAAAATAATACCAACATTCACTGTGCAAAAGAATTAAAAAAAAAAAATCTTACATACTCCCCGACATGCTTTACTTAGAAGACAAAAGTTCCATTTACTAAAACTAGTAGTATTACAGGGCTCATGTATGATCACTATATTAAAGAGACAGTCCTCCAACTGGAGAAAGGTAACTGAACATGTTATTTCCAAAGGTCAAACTAACAAAACTTTTCCAAATTATGTTCAACTAGGCAATACAATTTGTTTAAATGTTATAACAGAATTTTAACAAGAAGTGCGATTTTCAGCAACATGCATTAGAACAGTCTCATCATAATGAGCCAGAAATTCATGCAGAAACTTCTAGTAAAGATAATAACAATTTAACTTTTTCGCAAGCAGTAGGGATAGTCATAGATATTCTTGGGAAACTTTGCAGTTTATCAGTATTCTTCTCGGAATATTGAAACTTTGACATGAAAACTGCATGCTTTCTTCCAGATTGTTTTACTAATTACATATCAAAAGAAAATCATTTACTAAATTTGGACATGCAATTCAAATATTGTTCACAAATTTAAAAATCCATGAAAAAAATCAAGACAAATTTTTACATGAATTGACTCCCTTTTTAAAGCTGTATTGAATGGTGGTGGTTTTTTAAAATCCAACATGTGGATCATATAATAATTCAAAATTTTTAACTTTTGAGTATAGATGATCCGCACTGTAGCTAGCTATTGGGAGAAATGGTATAATTTAGATGTAAAAAAGGCAATTTTTAGAGACTGATAAAGTAAAAACTATTGTAGATCCCATCATGCGCATGGTTTATTAGATATACAAAATTGGATAATGGCATTTCTAGTGGAGAAGATATCATAAATGCTAATGAATCTCTTGCTGGTAATTCATTTGCCAAAATAATTCCAGATTTTAGTAAAAAATACCATTAAAGGAATTTCTAATTATTTTATTTTCTTATTTTCATGTGGCCATCTGGTGACAAAAGTGGGTATAGTAGCTTATGAAATATCTAATTATGAGAAATCAAAAAAAGATTCAATTTTTGATATTAAAAATCTCCTTAAAATAATAATATTAATCAACCAAACATTACAACACCTCATTCAGAATTAAAATGTTTGTTCCTTCAGGGTTGACCCATCAATTCAAAAATTTTCTGTTCCTGAAGTAAGATTGCAGATTCAAAGAAAAAATTTAGATTTCACTGTAAGTAAATTAGAAATTAAAAAAAGATTATATCAATTAGGGCATGCTGCAACAAAACCCAACAAAGTGAACTACCCAATGATTTCAGGGTTCAAATTAATTTGGCAAAAGAAATTAAAAAAAAATAGAGTTTATGTTCATTTAACATTCTTCAAGAATAAGAACAAAAAAAATTATAAATAGGTTAATAATAAAATTCAAATAATCAAAACTCTCATTGATATTTATTAATTAAAAAATAAAACTTCAAACTATCTTTTTCTGTTAGAAGTATTACTTGACATAACAATTGCTTGTTATAATAAAAATATTTAATTTAAATTTAGTGAATTCAAACAAAATTTTCAAGGATAGTCACATTTTGATAATTATTACAACAGTAGTAGTAATAAAAAGAATAACCAAATACAGGTGTGGATTAATATCTTATCATTAGCAGTTTAATAATATGTTTTTATTTTTAAAAGGTAAATAAGCTAAAAGAAAAAAACTTTGATCTAATAATTATTTTATGTGAAACAATAAATGATCCACAAATCAGGGTTGGCAAATGTGCGGTCCATTGATGGTCTATTGGTGGTCTATTGGGTCCATTAATGTAACATTATAACCATATTTGGTATTTTATTAATGGCAATGGACCAGTCCAAAATCCATCTGTTCTCAATGGACCGGTCAATTTGCCAACCCTGCCACAAATACTATTATTATTAACAAATTGTTTTTTATCTTTTCATAGGTGATTTGCAAATAAAATCACCCTCTTGTTCTTTATTTAAAGCTTGTCCATTATTATAAAGGTTTTGATTCATCAACACCTAAAGTTAAAAAAAATATTTAAATTTGTAGAGATTAGATTCCATAACACAAAAAAAATTTTTTGGTTTCATTTATACTTACACATAATCTAATAAAACTCTTCATTGCATCATTTAAAGAAGAAAAGCCGAATTTTGTTTTAGGTAATTCAAACGTTGATATCTTGCATAGAATATATAATTGTGGATAAAGTTCAAATTGTAATTCTACAAATTTTATGAATCCTTGTTTAGCAAAATGTTATGTAATATTAATATTTATTATAAAATAAAAAAATTTGTCTCACTTGAAATAATGATTCCATATACTTTTATATCTGGAAGTTTATTTTTATTACAAGATGGTACTGCCAAAAAGATTTTACAAATCATGTCATGTATCATTGTTACCAATTTCACTTTGTCATTGATGTATTTTGTCACATTGCCCAATGTTAAATCTTTTGCTACTTCAACTATTAATTAAAGACTAGTGCCGTAAATTATGATGATGATAGTAATTGTATTTACGGCATATAAAAAATGGTCACAATTACCCTTGTGACCACTTTTGCAACCATACTTTTTCCTTTTTTGGATTACGGCACTAGCCTTTACTATTGATACTTCCAAGTCTTTTCTGCTGATCATCACTTTAGTATCAGGTAAGGTTGTGGACAAAACCTCCTTAGTAATTGCTATTGCTGAAACCATGACAAAACTATATTAAATCTTATCAAAAATCCTGTTGAAACTATGCTGAAATGGCAAAACCTCAAAATGAGAAACTCTGTCAAAACTCTAATAAACAATTAATGTATAACCTGCCAAAACCCTGCTGATTGATTTCTGGAGGAGTTTTGGCAAGCAACCTTAGTATCAGGTATTAGAGCATGTGCCACATTTTCACCTAGTTTCTTTAATTTGTTGCAACATCCTTTGTTGGATCTAAAAAATTATATATAAAATATAAAAATAAATAAATAAATTGCACCTTTCATGCATGGATGAAATTAGGTAAAGTCATTATATATAATAAAACTTTTGTTTTTTAACATAATATTTGTTTCTGTCATAAAATAAATATGTGAAAATATCAGCTATTAAGTCACATATAGTCTGTGGCTCAGACATTGGTATATCAAAATAATCAGAACTTAAATAAAAAAACCCATGCTATATATATAATTGTATAAAAAATAATATCAAATATATACTTTTAGAAATACATACATTTTTTCAAATAATTTTCTTATAAAGGTTTTTAAGGAAGGAATTAATTCATACATGAATAATTTCTCTTTTTCAAAGGCTTTTTTAAGAGTGATCTCTGCTGAATCAAAATCATTTGTAGCACCAATAAGTTCATCAGTCAATTGTTGATTGAATTGTGGGGAATTTCAATAGTATCCAACTCAAAATGATGATTATTATAAAACTGTTGATAACTTTTAATTTGGTGCCTCCTATTGCTTAAATCTATTATTATGTATTTTATCAAATCACTAAAAATATAATATCATCATTATTATTGATAAGTATATCTTACGAAAATTTGATAATTAAGAAAATCATGTAAAATATACTTGTTTGCTGCAGCTTGATAATCAGAAATAATTGTGTCCACAGGTACACTGCGATTACTTGCTTCATTCTTTAAATTAAATTAAATTCATAGTATTAATATACATATTGATTATATTAACAAACTTTAAACAAAAATTTTTGATAATTTTACACTGCCAAATAATGATATTCCAAAAACTTCAAAATCTACATCAAAAATTCTAGGAGCAGAATTTATTTCAACCAATGAACTACTTACTTTTTCCCTTCTAAAAAATGCAATAATACACTCACTGGACAAAAATATATGAACATTTGTTGATCATCAAAAATAATCGAGTGACTTTGACATAATAAAACTAAATATTTTATTAACCTAATTGATCCTATTTATTAAGTAGAAATCCTTTTTCATATCAAATTCTATAACATACTGAAGTTTCATTGCATATAAATAAAAATTGATTGTTATATGAACCTTAAAAGATAAATGAAAAATTTTCAAAAATTTTTAAAAAATCTTAATCTCAAAAATTGACCACAATGGC